GTACATGAGCATGCTCACCAGCATCAAATGTCTAATGTTTAAAAATACGAAACAGGGTTTGAATTGCTTGCTGAGAAGTAGCAAAAGCAAGCAAATTTTGACTATTGCTTAAATATTGATCAGTCAATTTTTGTCAAACGACTAATTGCTAATGCATTGCATATTAAAATGAAATAAGAATATGCATTAGCAACAGTAAAAAACGCAAACTGGTTTCATTTTGATTGCTTGCTAATAGGCGATTTTACATGTTTAACTATTATGCATTTGGAATATATGCAACGTTCTTGCTTATGCGTTAGCAGCTTGTGTTTTGCTATAATCGAATGTGTATGGATTTCTTCTTTTTGTTTTTGATTGAAGGCAATGTGTATAGACAACTTTCTTGTTAGTTTTGTGCATTGAATAAAGTTATGCAAAATTGTAAGCAATGTATGTGTGTACAATTTGTATGCAAATAATATAATTATTGAATATGTGATATTTATTACAACCCCTGCCAACCCCTTTTGAATCAACTTCTCCAACTCTTTTTCTCCGTAATTTTTTTTAGTCAATAAACACACTTTATCTTAACAGGTTATGGGCCCAGCACCCTTCCACTGCGAGCTGTGTTTGTTAAAATAAAATCTTTTTTACTGCTAATTTTTTTTTTTTTAAAAACGGTACTCCAGTTTAGTTTTTTTTTTTACGTGCTCTTTTTCTTAGTAATTGTCGCGTTTTTTTGATTAAAAATTTTATTTTATATATAAATACTGAAATACTGAATACTGAAACAAACTTAAACAATGGCATCGGAAGGTGAAATTAGAATTGAAAAACTAATGGACAGTTCGCAATGGCTTACGTGGAAATTCGAAATGGTTCAAATTTTGGAAACAGGAGATATGTATGCCGTGGTGACTGGGACTGAACTACTATAGGAGGATAAAAAATTATTACGGCAGAAAATTAATGCAAGGGCTCGTCGCACTATATGCCTGTCACTAGGTAAACAACCTTTGCTGCAAATACTTCATTGTGTGACTGCAGCAGATATGTAGGACACACTAGAAAGGGTATACGAACAAACGTCAAGATCAAACGTATTATTTTTGCTGCAGAAATATTATAGTTATAATAAAGACCCGGAGGACGACTTTGCAACTTTTTTATCCAAACTAACGGAAATAGTGCAGCATTTTCGCGATCAAGGTGAAAGTATTTCTCATTCGATGATAATTGCAAAGGTGTTAATGTCTTTCTTCTTCTTTGTTCCGTTAAATTACAGTGGAGCATAGGGCCTCAACAATTCCTCTGAACCGTATTCTATTTGGAGCAGCCGTGCAGATGTCGTTTCATGAGTAGCGAGCTGATGTTAATTCGGCATCAATTGTCCTTCGCCATGTTCTTGAAGGGCGCCAGGTCGGCGACTACCCTGTGGGTTCCATTTTAGGGTCTGCTTAGCGATACAGGAATTCGACTTGCGTATTGTATGTCCTATCCATTGCCATTTTCGACTTTTGATTTCGCTCTCGACGCTTTGCATATTTGCTCTTTTTCACAATTCTGCATTGGAGATACGTTCTGACCACCATATTTTGAGTATGCGTTTTAGACATTTGTTTATGAAGACTTGGGTTCGTGAGTTGATCGATCTAGTAAACTTCCATGTTTCGCACCCATACACAAGTACGAATACGACATTTGATTGGAATATTCGAAGTTTTGTTCTGACGCTTAGTTGATTTGACCTCCAAGTGCTTTGTAGTTGTCCAAACGCAGACTTAGTTTTATTTATACGAGCCGCAACCTCTTCTTCTGCTCCGCTTACGGTGATTACGCTGCCCAAGTATGTACAGGATAACGACATTTATATTTATGTTCTCAACAGTTATCAAAGAATCGTGACAGCGCAGTATCCACTGGACATGACAACCGTTTTAGACGTGTTTATTTCCAAACCTGCTACCCGGGCATTACGATTTAGGCTGTCTACATTACGTTGGAGATCACTGTTTCTGTGACTCAGCAGACACGCATCGTCCGCATATTTGAGATCTTCTAGATGGTGAATAGGTGTCCACTGTATACCATGGTGTCCATGAAGCGAGTTTCTTAAAATTATTTCATCCAGAGCTAGAATGAAAAGCCCCGGTGAAAGGAGACAGCCTTGCCGAACTCCTGTACTCACGTCAAATACGTCAGACAGCACTCCGTCGTGCAAAACTCTGCATTTAAATTCAATGTACATGGACTTGATGATGTTAAGTATTTTTAGTGGCATGCCCTTTTGACGTAAAGCAGCCCATATAAAACGTCTGTTCAAACTATTAAAGGCTTTTTTAAAGTATATAAATGCTGCATACACGGAAGACCTAAATTTATTGCATTGTTCAAACACGATTCGGACAGTATTGATTAAGTCGACACAAGATCGATTTCGTCTAAAACCATATTGATGCTCACGAAGAAATTTTTCTGTTACCCTCGAGATTCGTGATAGTAAAGTCGAAGTGAGTATTTTGCTAGGCCCGGGTAGTAGGATCCATCACCCTTTTTCGGAATCTTAACGAGCACACCTTCATTCCAAGAAAGTGGTACTGCTTCGTTTTCCCAGATTCTCTGCAGAATAGGAAGCCATATAGATGCTGATAATTCTGGATCGCCCTTCAATAGTTCAGGATTGACGTTGTCACTGCCTGTTGGTTTTAAGTAGTTTTATGGCGGCGATACTTCAGATCTTGTTGGTTGGTGAATTATTGTCTTTACTAGCGCAATACAATCATTTTTATAGTGCATGGGAGTCGGTACGAGCTGAGGACCACATTCTAAACACCTTACGAGCACAGCTTATGGCAAAAGAAATAAGAATGGGTGCGCAGGAAAAGATAAAATCAGAAGCTCTCTTGGCAAAACAGCAATATCGACCATCAACTAAAGGGCAACAAAATAAAACCGTGAAAACAAATGCCAAAACCAAGGATGTTTTAAGTGTGGTGACAAAGGCTATTTTAAGTGGAATTATATATACTTCAAAAAGGCTGGACCAAATGTGAATCCCTCTAGAAGCTATGAAGCTTTGATGTGTGGTACAAATGCTAACTGCAACGGACACAATTGGGTTGGACTCAGGAGCAACAGATCACATGTGTCATATACAGGAGTGGTTTGAGAATTTCAGAAACTACAATGAAATAGTCGGGTTGGCGATGGACTTGCTATTAAAGCGGCAGGAATAGGAGATATTGTCGTCAACGAGGGCATTAGATCGAGGTTACAAATTTCATTCTGACAGTAATACTTGTAAATTTGTCAGAAAAGATGAAAGTACTGTTGCAGTGGGGGTTCGAAGAGAAAAGTTATTTAATATGCTAATTAAGGTTCAAGAATGCAACTTTTTAAATGTAGCAGTTGCCGAGAACTTTCCTTTGCAAATATGGCATGACAGAATGGGTCACCAAAATGCAACACATGTGAAGAAAATTCTGAATAAGAACAATATTGGCTTTGTGTATAAGGAATTTACATGCGAGAGATGCATTATAGGTAAGCAGCACAGAAGTTACTTTAAATCACGTCAAGTGAGGTCGTCAAGCTGCGGTAAACTGTGTTTCGCAGAGGTGTGTGATCCATTACAAGTAAAATCTATCGGTGGTGCCAGGTATTTCCTATAAACTAAAGATGACTATTTTCATTTTCGTTTTGTTTATTTCTTGAAAGAGAAATCTGAAATGCCATTAAAAGTTTCTTGATGCAAGCAGAGAAAGTTGATCAAGAATATAAAACGCATGCTTACGGATAATGGTTTAGAATTTAAAAATGATGAATTTTTCAAAATATTTGCAAAATTTAGTGTAAAGCATGAAAAGACGGTGCTGAACGTGAGATGTGAACGGTAATGAAGCTATGGCGCACAATGATTTATGCTAATGACATGGATTTGAAATTTTGGGCTGAGGCAGTGAATACCGTAGTTTACGTATTAAATCGTACATGAACTAGTACGGTAAACGAAAAGACACCATATGCGTTGTGGTATAGACAACAGGCAAATATAAATCATCTGCGCAATTTTGGTGAAGAAGTTTATGTGCACATACCTAAAGAAAAATGCCGTAAACTGGATGCAAAAGCCTGAAAAGGTATTTTAATTGGTTATGCAGACAACAGCAGAGCTCTCAGGGTGTAGAACACTAAGTCGCGAAAAATAAAAATTTCGTGCGATATTTATTTTTTACCTGAAATAACAACTCTCAATGATCAGTCATCTCTAGATATAGTTCGCTAAAACACAGCTGTGAATGTGAATCAAAATCTGATAAAAACAAAACGTAAATGAAGATGTGGAATAATGAAGAGATATCAGAGGAAAATGTATTTTATGATACTCTCAACAATGATGAGAATACCTGAAGTAAATATGACCGACACGATTGACAGTTTATATATTCTACATTTTGTCTACATTTCATTACCTAGGATTGCTTAAACTAATACAAAACATACTAGATTATAACACTTCTCCGCCCTTAATTTTTGATAATGAAATGTAATGGTATGTGTTGAAATTAATGAATGCAAAATGAAAATACTATGTGTGAAAAGTTATATGAAAATGAAATTAAGTTTTCCTAAAATCGTCGGTTTCAAATCGATTTACATCCTTCCGAATACGTCCACTTTTTCAAAGTTGAACTACTTCGGTAAAATGTTCTTCAGTAGGCATTAATGTTGATTGGCTAGATGAAGGCAGTGTTGCATTGACAATATTGAGAGCGAATTCAAAAATTGGTTGTGAAGAGAGGTTAGAACTGCTTCTAGTTTTAAGCTAATTAGCGTGACGTTTGATGTAGCCAAAAGATGTGTTCACTCGGTAAACCACTTTATCAAGTTGTTTCACAATTACTCCTTTTATCCATTTTTCTCCTCTTGCGTAGTTTCGAGCGAAGACAGATTGCTTGAGACTGAATTTCATTTTTCGCTTCGAAGTTTCAAGGTGCTTCCTAGGCGATTCAAACAGTGGACTCAACTTTTCCATGTAAAAGTTCAGCAGGTGATTTACCTTCAGCATTCGGCATTGCACGATATGTTGCAAGGTATTTTGATACAGCGAATTTGAGAGACAATCCATCGTCAATGTTTTTCTTAACAGCAGTTTTAAAAGATCTGACGAATCGTTCGGCTAACCCGTTTGAGGCTGCATGAAATGGCGCTGTTGTTATATGTTTGATTCCAAGTTTTAAGCAAAAATATTTTAATGCTTCAGCTGTTAATTGCAAACCATTGGCACTTATGATGGTTTCTAGTATATCTTCCAGAAAATATTGAAGATTATGCTGATATGGTGTCAAATATATCAATTTTGCACACAATTGCAATTTTGCACACATCACAATTTTCAGTTAATTCTGCAATGCCTTTGTCAATATTAGTCCACCAGACATGTTGTCGAGCTAGCTGTTTTATTTTCGATGATTTCCCATCATGAAAAAGTTTAAGAACTTTCTGCTTAAGGGAGACTGGAATAACAACACGATTGTACTCCGTCTGGAGGTAAACCAAATTGTTGTTTAGCATTAAAGCAAAGCGATGATTGAAAAATGATCGAAGATCAGCATCTTGTGGCATTAGCTTTTCAGGCCAACCGTTTGTAACGAGAAAATAAACTCAGCGAATAATTGGGACATTTTTGGCTTGTTGACGACTAATTTTAGCGTCGATAAGTGTTTTAAATTCATTCATGTTAAAACAGGATTCTTCGTGATCAAAAGTTTTATCTTCACCAACGGGTAAACGAGATAAAGCATCGGCATTACCATGATCAGTAGTTTTACGATACCGTTCATCATACTGATAAGCCATTAGTATAATAGCCCATCGCTGTAAAGGATGTGACGTCATCGACGGCAACTGATGAATTGGATTAAAAATGCTAACAAGAGATTTGTGGTCAGTAACCAAGGTGAATCTTCTTCCGTATAAATATTGATGGAAACGCTTGACTCCAAAAACGATAGCTAGCCCTTCCTTCTCTATCTGACTATATCGTCGTTGATGAATGTCGAGAGTTTTAGATGCAAAAGCAATAGGCCTTTCTGTACCGTCAACGTACGTATGCGAGAGCCCGACTCCTATGCCATAGGAGGAGGCATCTGTTGCTAGAACCAACGGTAAGTGTTCCTGAGAGCTATAAATGCTTGTTGTTCTGCTGAACCCCACGTGAATTTCACATTTTTCCGGCGCAGCCTGTTGATTGGCGCGCATAATAACACTTCGTTCAATAATGTGTGTGACTGACACATAGATGGCGGCACTAATACTAAATAAATATTTTTTTTCGAAAGTGGCAACCTTTTTAGGCTTACTGTCAAAATCATATGTTAATCCGACCATTTGTTTACAAGTTACAGTGCTTTAAGTGACGCTACTTTTGAGTTTTCAAAAAAAAATGAATTCAAAGCAATTCCGTGTGCTGATTTATCATTGTTTTTTAATGAAAAAAAATACTGTTCAATGCCAGGAATGGCTTGAAAAACATTATTCGGACTCTGCTCCATCAAAAAGAAGCATTTGTTATTGGTATGCCGAATTCAAACGTGGTCGTACAGACACCGATGACATTCCATCTACTGGACGGCCAAATGACGCTGTTATTCCGGAAAACGTTGAAAAAACACTGAAAATCATTATGTCCGACCGTAAAGTGAAAGTGAGGGAGATTGCTGACATTCTACAGATATCAGCAGGCAGTGTACACACCATAATACACGAACATTTGGGTATGAAAAAGGTGTTTTCCAAATGGGTGCCGCGTTTGCTCACACCGGAGCAAAAACAACAACGAATCGATGATTCAAAGAGCTGTTTGGACATGTTTACGCGCAATAAGTCGGAGTTTTTGCGTCGGTACATCACGATGGATGAAACATGGATCCACCATTTCACTCCAGAGTCAAATCGGCAGTCTGCTGAGTGGCATGCAGCCGGTGAAAGCCGCCCAAAGCGACCAAAGACGCAGCAGTTGGCTGGCAAGGTTATGGCGTCTGTATTTTGGGATGCGCATGGAATAATATTCATCGACTATCTCCAGAAGGGGAAGACCATCAACAGCGACTATTATATAGCGTTATTGGAGCGTTTGAAAGACGAAATCGCAAAGAAACGGCCTCATATGGCGAAGAAAACAGTTTTGTTCCACCAAGACAATGCACCGTGTCACAAGTCGATGAAAACGATGGCAAAATTGAACAAATTGAGCTACGAATTGCTGCCGCACCCACCATATTCTCCAGATCTGGCCCCCAGCAAATACTGGCTCTTCGCAGACCTTAAAAAGATGCTCCGTGGTAAGAGATTTGGCTCAAATGATGAAGTAAACGCCGAAACTAACGCCTATTTTGAAGGCAAAAAAAAATCGTTTTACAAAGGCGGTATCGAAAGATTGCAAAAGCGTTGGAATGATTGTATCTCCCTAAAAAGGGACTATGTTGATGAATAAAAACGAATTTTGGCAAAAAAAATGTGTTTTAATTAGTTAGTCACACATATTATTGAACGAAGTGTTAGCGAAAAATTAAGTATAAAATTATGGTAGTAGTTTAGGTTTTTGACTGCTTTTAGTCCTGACTCATCTGGCAGCCCCTTGCGGGTAAGGGATCTAGAATATTCCCGCAGTAGTTATGCTTGTCGTAAAAGGCGTTTAAAATTCCGGTGCCAATCCGGTACTTGTGTAGGATGTACGTATGGTAGAGAGTGAGCACGGCACTTGCGCCATCTGACCAGAGATGATCCGATCTGGTACTATAGGGATCAGTGACCCGCAGCTTTGGCTGTACTGACCCAAACTCACGCGGGAAGAATTACAAACATTATGGTGCAATCGGCGTGGAGTTGCGTATTCATCACCAGGTGCTACAGCCCACATTGTAGCAGAGATTTTAGATAGGCCTCGCATTAAACCAAGATGGAAGTAATAACCTACACACATTTCTTCATTGGTACCTGCCGAAGTTAATTCCAAGGGGGCGCTTATTGACGCATTGTATCAAGACGTTTGCTTTTGAGTAAAGTGATGTTAAGCCTCCACGGCAGGGAATCACGTAAAACACATAGAGACTTCTGACTCATCTGGCAATATGACTTTTGCACTAATTTGACGCCCGAGATATTCGATTTTATCGATTTACATTTTTCTTGCTTGCACCTGATACCATTTTGTTGCAAAATTCCAAGTACTTGTTATAGGCGGGACTATCAGCTTTTCACGCTAGTACAATTGGCGAAGCCCATTGAGAAAAGTTCACAGGTTTCCAGTTACCCACATTTGTCAATCGATTGACTTCTTTCTTGTAAAATGATATTTGCGAAAATGGAATTTGTCGGCTTTTACAAAATTTCGGATGTGCATTTGGCTTTAAAAAAACACTGATCTTAAAGTTTTTTATTGTGCCAATAATTATACAGCTCGCTAATTTTCAGTAATGTTACAAATTTGCTGAATCTCAAACCCGAATTCTTCGAATAAATCGAAACCGAATAAATTGTTACAGTTTTCGACATCCACGACAACGATTACCACTTCCTTTTCTTTTCTGCCACATTTGATAGCTACGCAAAGTTCACCAAGCACTGGAATTTCATTTTTGCCAAAGCCAAATAAGGTTTTTGAACAATTTCGCAACTTTGGGCAATTTAGTTTTTTGAATGTTCGCTTATTTATAAGAGAAACTGTTGCACCCGAATCCATTTGAAAAGACACAATTTTATTACAAATTTTCAAGTCAATATAATTCTTATTGCTTTCAGTTTTCACAATTTCTGTCAAACTGTTAATTGTTTTAACAGTACCAATGTTGTTTCTTTTACGGCGGTAATCTTTCTTTTTGTTTTCGTCACTTGAATTGCGTTTGTTGCTCTTGTTTTACTTTGACATGCACACTGGCGCAATATGACCAATTTTGCATATTGCATACAGCATTTCTAAATTTGCAGTTTTCTCTTGCATGAGAGTTTCCACAGCCAGAACATGATTTGAATTTTACTTTATTATTGTAATTGTTGGAAACACGCGTTTTTTTTTATAATTGTACCAACTGAATTAACAGGCATTGAGTTTTCGATCGTTTGTTCTTTAATTGTTGTCGCCGTTTTAGTGGTTGTTTCGTACAAATCTGCAATCTGCAAACATCAGCAAGTGTCGGTTGGGGCTTTTGGAACAAGCCGTGCGCACAGCATCGTGCGGTGTACCTATAATAATTTGGTCACGAATCATATCATCTACGAAATTGTGCAAACAATTCTGGGCTGACCACGAGAAGTTACACTCTCTTGCCAATCCGCGGAGATCGGCTACCCACTCTCTGTACGATTGATGCGGCTTCATTTCCCTTTTGAAAAAATCGTAACGCGCAGCGACCACATGTCGTTTCGACTGAAAATGATATGTTAGCTTTGTTTGAACAAATGTTCTTGTAATTTCGTGTTATCGAAAAGATTTTTTAGAAGCTCGAAATTTTCTGTGCCAATCCAAGACAAAAAATTTTTGTTTTTACTGCACTGGACTGAATATGCTAAAAAATGTTGGTTAAGTTGCTCCAAGTACGATTGACGGGTTTGCTGCTCTTTCGAAAATTTGTGAAATACTAGAACAATGTTGTGATTCCTTTCAGATACACCGGTAGTACCTTGTTTTTAGAACAGTGACTCCATCCATTTACGTTGTTGTTTCAGCAAATTTTTTGAGAACTCTTGCTGTTCTTTAAGCAATTGCTTATAAATTTCGCTTTCGCCCGGCATAATTGTTTATTAAATATCAAACGGCACGCAATAAGTGTGAAATCGATTGAATAATTGCAGTTTTTTATTTTCGTCGCCAACTGAAGTAAATATGACCGACACGATTGACTATTTATATTTGACTGAATTTTGTTTACATTTCATTATTTAGGATTGTTTAAACTAATACAAAACATACTATGTTTATGCTTTTAAATAAACTATGTTTTACCAGCGTTATGTCGGCACCACCATCAATTAAACACTTAAATTTTTTGTTGTCAATTCTAACCAATTTTAATTTTTCCATCTCTAAAGTACAATGAACACTTTTAGCTCCTAGATTGGTTTCTAAGCAATTTTTTGCGATATGGCCTGATTTGTTACATTTAAAACATTTTTGCTTTTCTGTGCATTCACGTCGTTTATGTTCTTTTGAGCCGCAATTGTAGCAATGCTCCTTTTTTACTTCTTTGTTTTTCCCGTACTTTTCATTCATCGGTTTCATTTTACTTATGCGTTGGTAAATTTCTATTTGCTCTTTTAACTCCAAATAATTTTTTGCAGCGTATAACGTCATTTTATTTTCTGGCCTTCCTTTGATTCCGTCAACAATATATTGAATCACGAATTTTTGTTCAACTGATCCAGTTGCACCGATGTTTCGCATGTGTGAAATATATTCATGGGCGCTTTCACTGTCTTTCTTCTTTCTTTCTCGTAGTTGATTGTGAACTTCTATACTTGAATAAGTATGTGTAAATTCCGTTAGCATCTCAGCCTTAAATGTACTGTAATTTTTTGTTGTTAGTGTTTACATAAAAAGTTTTGCTACTTTGGTTATCTTATTTCTTGCAAACACTAATTTTTGTGTGTCTGACCACTTATATGCATCTGCCAATTCTTCCAAATTTTCGAACCACTTTTCTACTGACATTCCTGCTTCGCCATGAAAACATGGAATCATATTACAAATATTTATAAGAAAATTATCATAGAAAGCTGAGTAGTGAGCATTAATTTAAGGGTGGTTTTGCATAGTTTCATTGTTCATCCTTTTTTTTTTTTTTTTGAAGGAATGTGCATACATTTCTTTTTTTTTTGGTTTTATTTGACTTGTTGTACCTTTGCTTAGGCGTAGCGCGTGCATTTGTATGATTTATAAGAAATATATGTTTATAAATAAAAATTACTAGAAACTCTAGTAATTATCATATTAACAAGTAATTAATGATAAAATCACGTGTTAATATCATTATAAATTTATATATATAAATAAATAATGTTTGCGACTGAATTATATACTTTTTTATTGAAACTTCGTTTGGATATTTTGATTTAATTCGTTGATTTATAATTATAATTGTAAAAATCGTAATGGTGCATCGATAACTAAAAATCTTTTTGTCAAGTTAATGATTGTCAAAAGTGGCAAGAAATGACGAAAAGAAACTATTAAAATTAAATGGATTCGAATAGTAATGAAGACAAAGACAGCAAAGAAGAAAAATTTATTTTAATTTATTGAAATTTGGTTGACCATACAACGGTTTTTCGACTATTGCCAAGTACTCATCATTAGTGGTCTTAGGAAATAATTGAATTTAATTGTTTATAATCCGTATATTATTTTGTTTAGACTGCAAGTGCCAGGCTTAGAACTCGTGCCTGTTGTATAAGAAGCGGTGACTAATCGTGTTTATCCACAAATAGACAAGGCTGCACTTGGAACTTTCAGTGCTCTAGTTCCAAGTTTCTTGTCACTTTTTTATTTAATTAGTGACACTAACAAAAACACTTGCCGTGCTTTAATATTAGAACGAGCTTATAAACTACAGCCTTATTTGAAAACACAAGTTCAACGCATTGAAAGCAAATTTTTGAAGTTTGAAAAGGTACACGCAATGGCAAAAACATGTCTGTTCAAACATAAAAATTATCAAACTTATTATTTCATGTATGATCACTAATATTTTGTTAGTGGAGTCAGAAATCAAACGAATAACGAACAAGTTGTGTGTTGCTTGAACAAAACCATATAGAAAAAATTCTAATATGAGAGCAAATGCACATATAACTTCTAGTTCATGCGTAAGTAAGTTTCTTGGTCCAAGCATCACATTCAAAAATATTGTCTTACCTACCCATGTACCTATACAAAGATATTTAACATAGTAAGTGTGCAATAACAAAGAAGAGTAGAAAAAGTGTACCAAGAATCTTACTTACACATGAACTAGAAGTTATGTGTGCATTTGCTCTCATATTAGAGTTTTTTCCAGGGTTCAGGAAAAAACTGTGTTTATTTGATATATATTTATTGCTTCTATTACTTATTATTTTAAGGTTTATTAATTTAAAACATGCTAATAAAGTTAATTTCATAATATACTTGAAAACTTTGTTATAATATAAAATATAAATAGCTTATGATATATGGGTTAAATAGGTACATGAATTTAATAGAGAAAGAGTATTTGTTTCGAAATGTTATAAGTAAAGGGGATCTGTTCTACGGAGCTTACTTTAAAAAAATTAATTTTGGACTACTTCATAAAATTTTATTTATCACTTAGAAATTAAAATTATAGAATATTGATTTTGTTCTCTAAGGTGTAAGTGATTAACACGACTGAGGCTTAGTTGGTTGGTTTTTATTTAAGAGTACCACTTAATAGTATTTTACTTAATCTATTATTAGTATTCATTCATATATTTCTGTGGGAACTAATTGCTTTGTATTTAAAAATTTGTGTCCTACCAAAAGAGTTAAAAATTTTACTTTCTTTTCATGTTTTTTAAGTTCACATTAGCAAATCTAAGCAATCTATGCAAAACTTATTAAACAAATACACCAATACCAATACGTGCTACCTGTTCAAGAGAATCTTTTCCTAATCTTTCGTGTTTTTCATAAAAGTTAGATAACATACTCTACGTGTGTAAATACATATTTTTTGGGAATAAAAAAATCTTCCTAAAATATGTTTTTATTTCTTTTAAACTGGTGCAAAACTTACTAAACAAATACTTTAAGTTCACTTACTAAATTTGCATTTAAAAATGCACAAAAGTTGGGAAGTAATATACAAGAAACTAATATTTTAAGTTAAAATACAAATATGGTTAAGACAGTTATAATTTTTAGTTAACATAATAAAAACTTAACAAAACTAATTATTTTAAATATTTGTTAATTTATACAATTTTTAACATAAGTTACGATTCCAACGAAGGCAAATATCAATTTTTTCAAAATTTGCAGCAAAATAATATTTTCTATTTCAAACAAAATTGTGAAATTCATGTAATTTTTTTCTACCCTTGGGTGCGCGCAAAATCGCACATTTGTGCAATCGTAATATTAGAACAGTGAGTGTCACGTTGTTTACTTACCGTGATAAATGTTATTTTTCATAAATTTCTTTTTAAATTTTTTAATTTTTGAATTTTCATATATCGTTTTTTATTTTATCAAATTTTAGTGCTTTTTTTTGCAAAATAATTGCACACATACAAAAGCAGCTGATAGAGACAGCAATTAAAATTATTAACACAGAAATATTACAAAGTGAATAAGTGTTACAAAACGATCAAATAATTAGATCAATTCTTACTCAAAAGCTTGTGCAATCGTGTAATGTTGTACCCTTATTTAGCAATTTAGCAGAATATTTAAATTTAATTAGCAAATTTTAAATTTATTTAGCAAATTTTAAATTTACTAGCAAAATTTTAATGTTGAACATAAATTCTGAATTTTGAACATTTAAAATTTACAGGTACTTCATTCTTTTAATTTTCTAAATAATTCAAAAGGGTATCAATAAAGTGTGAGTGGGCAAAGAACATCACCTATGCGGAAACAAAACGCATCTCAGAAAACAATGGAGAAGGAGGTAGTAAATATACCTTTATCCACCAAGCCAGACGATAACATTGAAAATAAGCTATTACAACTATCTGCGATGATGGAATCTCAAAGACATATCAATAAGGATATGCGGGACTTTCTAGCACAGGTAGTTAAGATGAATAAGACGGAACAAGAAAGGGGGTCCCTAGTGTCGTTAGTGGCTAAGAGTGTTACTTCCATTAGCGTGCAAACTCAGAGAGCACTAAAGCGTTCTGCAAATGAAAAACCGAACGGTCCACCATCCAAAGTTCAGATTAGTAAAATAGGAAGCATGTAACATGGAACGCCTTGCAACAAATCGCAACTAGTGGAAAAGAAAAACAGGAAAACTATGACAAAACTGGACCTCGTTAAAGCGCCAAGAGTGAGACCTGAAGCTATTCTTACTAGCAAGACGGCAGACAAGACAAGTCTTCCGCTGAAATGTTAAAGCTCCTTAAGACAAAACCAGAGCTTCAAGAATTCGGAAAAAATGTGAACAGAATCCAAAAAACAACGAAGGGGAATATATTGGTTGAGCTTACCAAAGAAGCTGGAACTTTAGCTAAGGACTTATGCACTGTAATGAAGAACACACTTCAGGATTATGCTAGTGTAAAATCGTTAACACAACGCATCCTAAAAGAATGCACGGATCTGGACGAGGTAACGTCCAACGAAGAGGTGTGCGCAGCGATTGCTGACCAATTTCCAGCAATGAACGTAAGCGAAATCAACGTCAATTTTTGGCATTGACAAGGGATAATACACGAACAGCGATTATCGATCTCCCTACCAAGGATGACAGTGTACTAATCACAGCTGCCTTAATCAGAGTGGGCTGGGTGCGCAGTAGAATCAGAAAGCATATCACACCCATGATGTGCTTTAAATACCTTCAATTTGGACATGCTGCTAGGCAATGCAAAAGTGGTGATAGATTAAGTACATGTATGAGATGTGGAGAAAATCAAATCAGAAGAAACCTTTAATGGGTATAAAGATACTTCTGCAAAGGCAGCCATTTGGCTAGGACAGGACATAATGTTTGAACCAATCGTATTGGTACAAAAAGAAGGTCTAGTACTTGCTAGAATCCGAGGTATATATGTGTGCAGCTGCTCCATATCCCCAAATATTACCCAAGAGAGATTTGGAGAGTTGCTTGATAGGCTATCAGGAACAGTTAGAAATAAAACTTCCATCGTTGTTGCAGAGGATTTCAATGCTTGGGCAGTCGAATAGAGCAGTATTAATACAACACGCCGAGGTAGAGCCCTATTAAAGACATTCACCTCACTAAACCTAAAGCGCGGTGCAGACTATCATACTGGTATGTCATACGAGAGAGAAAAACGTCGTATGACACACAGGTATGATAGTCTGCCACCTTTACCAACGTGTTGGCGTGCTCACCAAAATTTTGGTGAACAGCTCTCACATACGCGTTGTGTATGATAGTCTGTCACCCCTAACGATTCATACGTCATACAAGAGCATTTTTGCCTTGCAAATTTATTGTAAGCAGGTGAAATATGTAGAATTATAATATAAATTTAATATGTTTTTTATTATTTTATTATTAATGTATTTATTATTATTATATTTATTATTATTAAAATTACACTTATAAATTTGTGTTAAATATATAATTGTATCTTAGTTAAAAAAAATATAAATTTTTACATAAAATTCTTATAAAAAATTAAAATACAATTAAATATTTTATGTAATATATTAAATATTTTATTTTATTTTATTTTAATTTATAAACGATGATTATAAGTAAAATTTTTTTTAAAAAAACATCTAAATATAAACATCGTTAAATTTATGATCTAAGCCCAGTAATAAAAAAACATATTGAAAATTGGTCGTAATAACAATTAATTAATAACCCAAATTTAAGATATAATACTTTGTATTCTAAATATGCTTTTCTTTGTTAAAACTTGTTATTAAAATAAAAGAATTTTAAATGTTAATAACCTTTAACTAACAAAAATATGGAAATGATCAAATTTCTTG